GTCGCAAATATACATATAAATGTATACATTTTTTTTTTTTTTTCCTACAATATTTCAGAGTCCTAAGTATGTGAAAGAATGTATTTTCCAACAAAGTTTCATTCTGAAAGGAATTAAATGCTATACTTTTCATAGAACAATTTGCTCGAAAAAGTTTTAATTTAAATAAAATATTTTCACAAGTTTTCGTTGATTATATGAGAAAGAAATTTTAAGGTAATTCAATTTCATTTGGTTAACGATTACAAAAATTAAACTCAAAGTTTATTGCATTATTAATATTTAAATTACGCAATATTCCTTTTCTGTTTACAGAGCTTCTTTCTGAAATACTTCCTCAAATATGAAATAATTTTTTAGCTTCTGAGGAATCTTTTAAATCAAAAATCAAAGTAATTTTTTATTTAATGCTCTGCTCGGTTCATTTCAAACTAGAGCACCCTTTATTTTCATAGTCAAATATGTTAAATATTACTGCTGATGTTCATGTACTTAACTTTCTATGAGTATTTCTGAAAATGATAAAAAGAGGTGTTTTTTTAAATATTACTTAAAACCTGTAATTGAGTTATTATAAAATATAAGGAAGTAATTCTTTTAATACACAAATCATTTTTAGTCTTCATTTCAACAATACTCATTCTAAAAATTCTACTTATAATTACTTATATTTTTAATCATTATAAATTTAGATATATTTAATTAAATTGATTTCCTCACAGTAACATTCACAGGAGTTTATGTATGAATGAATCTTTCATTTCCAAATATAGTTATAAATACTTTAATAAATACTTATGTATATTGTTAAAGGCAAATATATGCTTTTTACAAGGATTATGCATAAATACCCATATAAACTTAATACTTTTAATTTTCGGCAAGTGCAAATCTTTAATTTCTGTGCATTCACCATATTTTTCGATATTCACCAAATTAAAAATAATATAGCATGCATAAGAATTTTATACATAAGAAATATATGTAAATAAGTTCAATGAAAATTAAATGCATTATTTTTAACACGCACTCAAAGGTTTAATTTTCTTATGAAATTCCTTCCCAGAGGTATCTCTTTTCTTAGGTAGGGCCAACCAGCGGCCGAGCGGTAAAGTCGCTGAACACTGGTAGTTCGGTCCGAGGTTCGAATCCCGCGAACGGGCTGGCTGCATGGGTGTTTTCGTGGTTTTCCCCCATGTGTAACGTGTATACGAGCCAGTTTCCCTTAGAAAGTCCTCCACGAAGGCATCCCTCCCCTTAGGCAGATAGCCCTAGTGTGCTTTGCCGTAATTAAATACACCATCACATCACCCTTAGGTAGATAGCCCTTACATGCTTTATCCTGTTTGAAAAACTTAACTTGAGCTATGTGCCTAATTACAAATATTTTGACATACATAATTTTATATTTATATTTAGACGTCAAGTTTCAAACATTTGACTTGAAACACGTTTTAGATACCTTGTTTTAAAATTCAAATTTTCTATTAAACATATTTTGGCAGGGCATTCAATACTTCTCATTACAATTTTACCCAGTTTAATAATTCTCTGAAAACATTATAACAAAAAACTATCTATTTCACATTTAAACTTTAACCTCAATGTCATCAGATCTCAATCTTGATTGGCTTACTCTGCTCACAAATACAGCTTCAATTTTTGAAACAGTTAAAACAATTAATTGATATAAATTCACAAATACTTGAAATTTACCTATTGCAAGTTAATCCAAATTGTAAAAATATGCAAAATGCATTGATATACCGATTAATATCATTCACATCACCCTATTTTCTAATTCCTCATAAGCTCTCATAATGATGTGGCACATTCACATAGTGACCGCAAATGGCTCTTACGCCGAATTGGAAAATGCTTCTGTATACAATGTTAACAATGATTACAGTATTTGAGAGCAAATATGCCGACGAAATGAAGGCCCTGAAAGAGCAAGAATCACAAATGCGCGGCAAGATAGGATGATTGTTCGCCAGGCCCGAACCATCCCAAGGGTATCAATCATTAGTGACTATTCAACGCTCTACAGCCACGCCTATACCTCCCACGGTACCGTCCACCTTCTCACGGCGCTTGTCTGAGGCGGGGTTACGCTCACAGAGATTCTTAAGACATTTGCCTTTGACCACACAACATCGCCACCCATGTTGTGTGGTCAAAGGCAAATGTCTTAAGAATCTCTGGAGTCATCTGGAGTGGCGTCGCAGCCGATCATCATGGCTGCCATCAGACTGGCATGTGTTCAGCGATGAATCTCGCTTCACTCTTGAAGCAGATGACCACCGTGTCCATGTCTGGACAGGACAATCCTAATCAGCCTAAGGTATACAGCCATAACTTCTAGTGTGATGATGTGGGGCGCTATTTCTTATAACAGCTCAGTTATATGTTGATACCATCCTGCGGCCGGATGCATTACCCTTCATGGCACGTCATTCTGGGGCCATTTTCCAACAAGATATTGCCAGGCCATATACCGTTCGCATATCTCTGGACTGTCTTCGTACGGTTGATACTCTTCCTTAGCCAGCAAGGCCACCAGACCTTTCACCAATCGAACATGTCTGGGACATGGTAGGCCAGATTCGGACACCACAAAATATCGCAAATCTGGAGCGACAACTGATGAATGCCTGGCAGAATGTGTTAGAAACCTCTACATTAGATGGATGACATTAGAAACCTCTACCACTCCTTGCATCGACGAATTCAAGCATGCATTGCAACCAGGGGTGTTCAACCAAATACTAATTTGAACACTCAATGGGTGATAGCGAGCCGTGAACTTTTTTTTTTCCAAAGAGTGTATTTATCAATCGCTCTTTTTTTTCCTTAAACTTATTTGATTCTTCCTTTCACATTTAGAAATTTAGGTTTATTCCAAATAAAATTCGCCCCTTTTTATGATTTATTTTTAAAATGCGCATTCTTAAATAATTTTTATAAATTTTTTGAAAGAAATTTTGAATTATAATCTATAAACTTTTTGCCATCAACTTAAAATAGATGTATTTTTAAGCATACCTGCAAAAAAAAAAAAAAAAAAAAAAAAAAAAAATCCAAAAGACAGACGTGAATTTTGGGTGATTACATATTGGCGCATTTTGAAATTTGGCATATTTGTTGAAAGCGATAATAACACAAATGTGTTTAAAGCACTTTGTTAAAATTATTTGAAAGCAGGAACGAAGTAACTTTTTTCCGCTCACGCCCAATGCAAAGGGAAAGAAAAATAGGTTGCCATATATTAAGAAGTTCGCCAAGTGAATTATTCTTGGGGCAAACTGAAAAAAGTGCCCCAAGATAAATTTTTGAATTTCTCCGTAATTTTCGCACCAAATTTTACAAAATTTAATACGTAGGAATAATTTGAGTCGTAAAATCGAAATATGGGAAAAAATGGCATGTCATTTCAGAAAAGTCCGATTTTGTGTCAAAATATCTAAATTAGGGCAATGATATATATAAATCTAATATATATCCAAAGTCACACTTTTGAGACATGAAAAACGAAATTTGAATTTTGTCAATCGGCCCAGTAGAACGAGAGATAGAGGACTGCCATTTTTTTCCCGCAGTGAACCTTAAGATATTTATTCTTCTTTACGCATAAAATTGTTGCTGAAATATATATGTTTGCAGTCTAGTTAGCTTAGAATTCTATAAAGCAATTCATAATCAAAATCGCTGTTGCAAGTTATCAAAAAATAGCTAATATGTGATTTTTTGCATACATGCCACTAAATTATACAAATTGCTATCACCCATCCAACAATGCATGTTTATTTTATGCAAAAGTGTCCCCGCTTTTCGATTTGTGAGGATGTGTCGTGGGTGAAAGTACCACCAAACCGCTGTCATCATGCTCTGGTTGTGAGCAAAGCGCACCCGCTTTGGAGATTAAAGCTCGGCAGCACTGCGTCATGCGTAATGCGGGGATGGCGCCTCCTTTTTTTTTTACCTCCATGATAAAAAGATAGAGTAAAAGGAATCAATCACTCTTCACCCTATTTTCGTATTACGAAAACAATCACGTAATTGGCATTAGCCTATCTTTGCGTTTTACCTATCTTATGTAACCATTTCTAGCAGTAGCCCCCATCTTTTTCTTTCGTTAGCTCGTGGCACTAGATGCTTCTGTGACAATAGGCTGGTTGTTTTAAAAAGGTTCAGAAAGATGAAGGAGAATAATGAAACACAGAAGGGCTGAAAAGATCTTTAGAGTAAAACTTTTTTTTTTATAAAAGTGGAAATACATAAGGGATTTGATGATCAAATAGTATTCTCATAAATACGAATGAAAAAATTATTAACCAGAAAAGTCATACAAGTGCAAAGGATTAAGTAAAAATTGAAATTTAGAAGTACAGCAAATTTACTTTTTAAGGAGGTGCAAATGAAACGAAAGGATACATTCCGATTGGTTAAGTTAAGAATAAAATTATCGAATCTTTCTTTCTAAGGCTGAAAGGGGAACAAAACTGTCAAGGATGAACCGGGAACGACCACTTATATGAAAATAGCGATTCCTAATCATTTTAAGAAATCTTGACTATGCATCAAAAACAGAAATATTACAGTTAAAATAGCAACGATTAATTAAGCGTAATGCTAATGATTGTACGTAAACTTTGCACTGTAAACCTTAAAGATGAATGAGCATTCAGGAGTTATATTTTAGTAGTAATTGTAATCACTACTCGAAGATTTGAAAAGACAAGGTGAAACTGCCATTTCTTCCTTAAGACGCAGTTTATAATTTCTAGTAAATTTCTTCTGAAATATATCTGAAAGTAGAAAGTCAGAGTGGAGCTGCTTAAATATTTGCGAACATTTTCAGATTGGAAAAATTGTAACTAGCTTAAATTAAAAAAAAAAAAAAAAAAAAAAAAAAAAAAAACAAAACTAGAACTAATAAATTATAAAAAATCTGGTTACATTTACGTATAATACATATAAGACAGATTTCTTTTCATTACCTTGACCATCTGCAGTACTTGTTTCAACAGTTGGCACAGGATGAGTTGCAATTGTTGTCAGTTTTTGTTCTACGCTTTTTGTTGCAGTGCTCGGTAATGGTTGTTTGGTTGTCGTAGCTGGACCCTGAGTCGTGGTAACAGGTATTTCCATTGTTGTGCTTCTTATTGTTGTTGTAGGTTGGCTAGTAACTGTCGTGGTGTATGTGGACGTCGTTTCTTCTTCGGTAGTTGGTAGAAATGTAGTCATCGTGGTGCGTTCTGTTGTAATAGCAGGAGGTTCTGTAGTAGTCACTGCGGAAGCTTTCGTCGTCATTTCTAAAGATGTTTCAGTTACAGTAACTGTTGTTTGATAACTTGAATCGTCATTATCTAAATTACTGCTGTTGTCTGAAGATGTCTCTATATTTAAAAGTGATGGAGATGATGAATCTTCGTTTATTTCCCCAGCCTCATCAATGAGTGTTGCAGCAGAATGTATCGAAACATCCCCATCTCCACTAGAAAACAGATCTTCCGCGGTTGCATTCATTAACTGAGGCTTTACTGGAAAAAAGAAAGAGAATAGTGCTTTTAATAATAATAATTCACTTTAACTGTGCATGAACATTAGTATATATAAGTACTCGAATATTTTAATTTTTTCTAGACTTCAGCTCTTTATGGTGAATATTTTGCGCAGCCATAGAAGAAATGACACTTTTGCAATTAAAAGTAAAGGATTGATATTGAAAAATGCGTATTGATATTGTGTAATTCTTCATAAAATTTCACCGAAATTTCTTAAGGAATATGATACGCAGTTTATTTGTAAAAGCAGTTGAGCCCTTAATTTGAGATGAAATGTTAATTACTTCAAGGTATACATTAGAGATCAACAAAAATTGTTCACATTTTTTATGTTACAAAGCGTTTGAAGTTCATAATTGCGACGAAGATATACTACATAAGCAAATAGCAAATAAATAAATAACGTGTATTATGATGAAAAGGATATTCCCAAGCATTAATGTTAGTGTCGGAATAAATACCCATGTCAATAATTTAGAAAATTTCTAAGGCAATTTAGATTTTACCAAAGAAATATGGATTACTCGATTAAAATAACTAATACTTTGTCTCGTTATCTGTATGCTTTATGTAAAAATATTCCTTTAGAGCTCAGCTTTTTTACCTTGCAGAACCCTTTATGATATTCATGTCTCAGGAAATATTTTCAGGAAACCTTTATAGAAACGCTCTATACCGGCGATTATCAACCTGTGGTGCGCAAGAGAAAAAATAGATGGTATGCAAAGAAACAAAGTATTTTTAACTATTAAATTCAAAAATTAAATACCCCAACATTCCAAACAACCCTAACACTTGTAAATTTATGGGACCTGCACTTGGCTCAAGGTCAATAGCCGCTCATAGACTTCAGCAAAACAATCCGTTTTTATTTTCACAAATATTCCTTTAGCCATAGTCATAGCAAAATTTGTCATAAATGATGTTTTTAAAAGGAGTAATAGAAATGGATTTTGCATTTAGTAGGAAATAGAAATAAATTCCCATAAAAGGATAACTGTATCTTATTAATTCTTTTAAAGTTGGTAGATTTACTATCATGTCTACACTTTATGCCGCCACCATATCCGTGTTATTTTTAATTAGAATAATTTTTTCACGTGGATTTGCTGGTCTCACGAAATTCTTTTTGTGCTTAAATCTTATTTTTTGCATTGCAATCGTGGGTTGATTTATTTTGGATAAACGTGGAAAAAAAAAAAAAAAAAAAAAACCCTAATCAAAAAAAAAAGATACTTGTAAGGATCTTAAGTTTTACTAACGTTTATTTTATTTTAAATCTTTACTATCACTTCTTATTTTCTACTTCCGGCCAGAATTATAAGCGTGAAGGAGTTTATGCAAAATTTGTCTGGCGAACGCCAAGTATTTAAGTTGTGGCCTTTTTGCCAAGCGAGAGAGAGGAAGGTGAGTTAGTCGAAGCAGGCCGCTTACCTTAGAAGTTACGCAGTTGCTACTTTGCCTTCCAGGCCAGAGGTTTTAATCCTCTTGATAATTTTAAACGTATTGTAGTGTTCACAGTCTCTGTGCTACATACGCTTCCTGTTATTATAAGGCCAATCTTCCACGTTTATTATTCTAAAGTTAAATTAGAGTTTAGTTTTATATTTTGATATCTTTTACGTTAGACCCCGAGTGGAGGGTCATTGTATTCCGAAGTACGGAAGTTATTGTATAAGAGAGAAAAATAAAGGGTTTTGTATACCCTTCGTCTGTATCCTGTCTACTTTACCACAATTAGTGAACATAGCTTTAGTAAGCTCTCTGTTCCTAGTCAGGTCCTTGTATGTTCCCGAAGAAGGTTAAGAAGAAACATTGAACCTGATAGTGGCGCCCAACGAAGAAGAATAACCATGGCCGAGTTTCAAGAAGAACCTGTGCTGCCTGCAGAAACGGCTCAGAATCCAGAAATGCCAGCTGCCGCCCTGGAAGGATTTGGGTTACATCGTCCAGACCATGCGCGCTTCGATGAAACCAGAAGCAACGTTTAATGGAAACTCACCGGTAACCAGTTTTTTGGAAAAATTGGATGACCACTTCATGCTCTACCCCGTGCACGAGTTTCAAAAAGTTACCTTAGCTACCAGCGCTTTGAGGGGCCAAGCGCTTAACTGGTTCAAATGTATCGGCAGAAGTCTCTTGGGTCAAGCAGGAAGTCCCACCTATACTTACGAAAATTTCAAGACTGCCCTACTAGTAAAAGCCTTCCCTGTTGTAAGGGATCGTGCGCGAAATTAGAAACGGAACTTTTCAGTATATATCAACAAAGAATCGAAAACCTCTCGAGCTTTATTTTAAGAAAAATTCACGTTTTCAAGCTCTTGTATGGAAACCGTCCGGATCCTGAAATAATTCAAGTGATTTTGCCGAGGTTACTACCCCAAGTGCAAGACTTTATTGAATTAAGAAATCCGACTACACTGGAAAAGTTATTTGAGCTAGCAATCCAGTTTGAAAGTAGAAGAACGGCGGACGTCGAAAGAAGACGCCAATATCAACAGCGAAACCAATTTGGTACGCCAAGACTACAGCAAACTCAAGCACACGGCTACGGAAGAAAAGCGAATCAGTGGGCAAGGAAACCCGAGCATTCAAAAACAGCCGGCGAACGTCGACAGTTCAATAGCAACCCAGGAAAAAAGTCTCAAGGCCAGTGGAAAAAGAAGGAAAGCACGGAAAGGAAAAATAATTTAAACTAAAACGGATTTCTGCTGACGAGAGGGTGCGGAAATCCGAAGGCCACGAAAACCCCTCTTCCTACAAGTTAAATACAGTAATGGTGAAAAATTTGACTCTTCCGAAGATTGAAGTCTTGGTGAATAATATCCCGGCCACCGCACTCCTGGATACCGGCGCGCAGTGTTCCTGTGTGGCAGAAGTTTTTTTAGGAAGTATTTTCGCAAATACCGCATATATAATGCGGATAATACGACAGTATTAGCGGCGCAAGGAGAAAGATGTAAGTGCGTAGGTAAAGTACCTTTATACATCCGTATCAAGGACGAACAAGTAAAGGTGATGTTTTTTATAGTAAAGAATCTGCAAGCACATATTATCTTAGGAATAGACTTTCTTTCAGACGCACAAGCAACACTGGATTTTAATGAAGCGTCCCTTAAGCTGACGATGAAACCAGTTCGTGAAGAAAAAATTGAACCGCCGATGTTAAATCTTGACCACCTGCCTAATGAAGAGCAACGAAGAATCCGACAAGTGGATGCGGGATACCAAGTACAAGGCGCCGGACAAGCAATGAAAAGAATTTCCCGGGAAATTGAAGGTAACAAGAAAAAGAAGCCGTTCCACCGTCCAGAAAAGAGAGCTCACGACACCCCCAGAATGAAGAAGGGAGAAGACGACGAATGCAAAGAAAGCCAGGAGAAATAACGGCAACTATAACCCGGCTCCCAAACGGAAGATCTACTCATCGGACAGGACTCTCCGCAGCAAATGCCGCCGAACTGCGGAAGGGCCACTAGCGGCGGAGGAAAAGATACAAGGAAAATTTGAACGGCCAGCAACGAGGTTCAAGCAGGAACGAGAGAGAAGTGTCCCGGTTCCGCCAAGACCAGCTGCCATCAAACGGCCAAGACCACAGGCAGAGGCGAAAAAGGAGGTATTCAAGGGTGACCGAACTGGAGGAAAAAGAAAGCTTCTAGAGGAAGGCACTGAAGGGCGAGCCCGCACAAGAAGGAGGATAAATCAAACTAGAATCTTCGCTACCTTCCAGGACTGGGCTGAGAAAAGAATGTCTGAATATCACAAAGATAAGTAAAATTTTATGTTACTTTGCAAACTTAAGTTAATCTTTCATTCTTTCTGCAAGTGGCAGATTTCAAGAAGTTTTACCTCATGTGAGGTCTACCTTTATCGCCAAAAAGGCGAGAAATGAGTTGTTACCGATTTTGGTATTATGTTTTTCAATTACTCGCGAGTAAAACTAAAGTTTATGTATAATAGGAATGTGTAAATACTTGAATATTGTAAAAGTTATTGTATAAATTTTATTTAAAACATTCTGGCAAGAAAGAAGTTTTAATCTGAAAGACTTTTGAAATGTAGTATTGCAATGTAGAAGAATTCTCACTTGCTTGGAAAAGAATAGAAGTTAACAATGTACTACTAATGTATGTTTTAAAATGCGTAAAATTAACGGCATGTTCATATGTTCTTATATACAATGTGAACTGTTATTTTAAATGTTAAGAAATACTGTGATATGGTAAAAGTGAAAGTAATGCCAAAAAAGTTTAAACTTATTCGTGAGACTGTAAAAGACCAAATTAACCCAATATGGTGAATATGTGTTAAAGGTTGAATGAATGTAGTTAGGCTCTCTGACGCTACACTTCAGAGTTAGCCACTTTCAGAATAGTACCTCAGGGTTTAGAGTTGAAGATAGGGTGTGTTACGAGGTCTTGTTATGTTGAATTTTAACACGTTAGTGTTTTGATTGTAGGCGGCAGTGTTGAACACGTATACATAAACACATTCGTGTTTGGTGTTTTCTTTTACAACACATGTCAGAGAGCACGGGGAGAGATAATTAAAATAAAGTCATGAATGAAATAAGAATGTTAAGAGAAATATAAATATTCATGTTACTTGCCATTTCATTGTGTAACATTTCATTAAACTAGTTTTCCTTCCAGATCTCTGGAAGGAACCAGATTTGAATAAAAGCTCCTGTTTAGATGCAGTACAGATGAAAAATTGGTTATCCATGGAGCTGATATTGTAAAAAAAAATTTTTTTTTTTTAATTTCTAGTTTCTAGTGAGAAATGTTTGTAAAAGATTGGCCTCCCGTTAAATTCTAGAGCTAAAAGTTTTCAACAAGGTCGTTTTAGACCTCAGTTTCAAACTAATTAACTCTGGCGGGAAGTATGTAAGGATCTTAAGTTTTACTAACGTTTATTTTTATTTTAAATTTTTACTATCACTTCTTATTTTCTACTTCCGGCCAGAATTAAAAGCT